TTTTTTTTTTTTTTTTTTTGGAGAACGGGAGAAAATCGGTGCGCGCGCAGGATGTCATCCATAAAAATAAAAAAGTGTGGCCTAACTAACTTTGGATGGTAACTTGGATGGTAACTGGCAGTTTTTGATGATTTTCAGTCGTGTTCGGCGCATTTTGATATTTCTGGCCACAGGTTTATGAGAAGATCTCGAGTTCTTACTGCGAAACCCTAGATTTTGCATTGTAAACATACCGGTTTCAATATCCATGTTTTATAACAATGGTTTAACGTTCATATAAGCTGGGTCACATTAGTAAAATAGCACTAGTGTAAAGGTGTTATTTCATTGTTTATCTATTCATTCATTTATTCATTCATTCAATCATTTAGTTAGATGGAGTTTGTAATTCAATATTTACTTATTATTTACTATATTACTATATAGTCATTTACTACTTACTTAAGGCGGAGTTACGCGATGAGAAAGAGGACGCTTAATCAAGAAGATACAAAATATAAATTTTTATTAAATAGTAAGAAACGATGAAACATACCTCGTAAATTAAGATATATATATCTATTTCGAACATGGAGATGTTATTTTCGGAATGTTTGGACCGTATACATTTACTCATCATAGATGAAATATGCGTGCACAGGTATAAAATGCTAAACAACTGTTTCAGGTTCATAGTATTTGCCTAAAATAATGGAAAGATGACAAAGATGAACAGCCGAACTAAACTGTGGTTATTTTGTTTTACACTACTATGAAAATGCACATATAACGATGAAAGGCTCCATATCAAACAATATGTACATTTTGTACATAGAGGTGCAAGCCGTGGTTCACATTAATTCAGACTTGCTGAAAAGTTGGGTCGTGCAACTTTATTCTCATCAAAACGGCATACAAGAAGCATGCATGTGTAGATGCGCGGGTATAATTATGCTTAAAATACTGTATGGGATCATGCTATGGATGTTTCCCCACTATATTTAGTACAACATGAATGTATTACAAGTCGTTATCATACTTTCAAAATATCACCAATTGCATGCCGTTTTTTTGTACAAAATCAACTTCTTTTTTGAGAGGACCAAACCTTAATTCGACAAATAATTGCCGTTTTTCTAAAACAGTTCCGTGTAAGCATGCATCTGGGTCATATGAAGCAGGAGAACAAACGAGTCATATTTGAAAGCAAGTTCAGAGGTATTCAGAATACCCAACAACGACTGAGCATTTGCATAGTCCGGAATTTAAATATATACATGTAAAATATCAGCTTTTTACCCAATTAAGATTTACCATTTAAAGTTCAACATACACAAATAAAAATCGATTTGTGCACAACAAATCTCGACGATAAAGATACAGTTAGGGAAACACCGATGGAAAGACTGTCTTATAAATATTTTGAGCGAGGTACGTCAGGCGGTTTCCGGCGCTCGTGTCTGGTTCCACATTGGAGTACGTGCGGAAGAAGGTTGGAAGCAAATCACGGACGAGGCCTTGGTAGAACAAAGTACTCCCGTTCACGAGTGGCGTGTTCACAGGTGGACCTGCAAAAGACACGTGACATCAACACGTGACGTATTGAACAGGGTATTGACATAGACATGTGACTTATAAATATTGCGAAGATTATTGATACTTTGATACTAAGACTATAAGGTGATATCTTTGAATTATGTAATGCTTATTTATTATTATTATTTTTTTTTTTTTTGTTTTCCATACGGCATTTTTGTTTGCTTGTTTGTTGTTGCTGTTTTTAATCTTTTTTATATTGTCTGTAATTACAGTTATCGTCTGTTGATCTGAATGTAATTCCTGTGTCCATCAAAGGAAAATCAACGACGACAAAAAACTCACTAGGGACCATGTTAACCTGTTAAAACTCACTTGTGTTTAGAACGGTGCATGCGTTAAGCCCCCTTTACACTGGATGGCGTCCTTTCTGCGTCCAACAGTACGGCCCCATTTGAGAGTTAAGAAATCATAATATTTTACGTGCCGACTACTGGCCGATCATTGAACATTCATTTTGATACAAAATCAATGCCCGTGTTTCTTTATAAAGACCACTGCGATGCCAAATTTCATGGTCGCAGAAAGGACGCAGAAAGGACGCCGTTCAGTGTAAAGGGGGTATTAGAGTTGCAGTAGTAGCTGGGCGTAATGTCCACGGTAAACCGGTCGTTGAAGCTGCATATAAAACTTGTTATTGGCTGCAATAAAAATTTTAAAAAGCACGAAATTAGAATTATATGCAATGTTTATAACAAACACAGGTAAACCCAATACAAACTCATCCACATCGCCATTTTCTTCTTAATATAATTACTGATTTAGCAGCATTTTTCCCTAGCAATCGTAAATCTGTAACTAAAATAGGCCTTGTTGTGGGCCTTAATAAATTTTTGCGAGCCATACGAGGCTAGTTGACTTACCAAAACATATTACACTGTAGCCAAATATGAGTGTTTCAGAGAAAATCTGAAATCTTCCGTGACCCCTTTGAAAAATTAGCAAGAAAGACATTTCCCAGAAATTGAATTTATATTATTTTATATTAATTAATTGATTAATGTATTTGAATTGTGTGTGTGAGACAGGTCCTGCTTAAAACGATAAAGCACGGTACCTTGTGGCCGACAGGACAAATTTCCGATTTCAGAGTTTAAAAATTAATATTTTTACTAGAAAATTCAGACAGACATTAATTTCACTTTGTGATCTTCGAGGCTGAAAAATTATTGTCCACAGGCGCGGCAAGACAAATTGACCACCACTTACAAATTTAAAGAGAGAGGCGACTGAGCGACCAAAATAAACCAAGCGTTGTTCCCAGACTACTGTGAAAGTAAATTGAAGTGGGGAATTTTAGATAAGCGGAGAAGTCTTACCGTCAGCAAGTTTGCAATGTCCGAGGTAATCCGTCCCGAGAGCCCCAGGACGACAAAATCTGAGGCAACGCCAAGGCAGTCCGTCGCCCTAAGGTTGCAATCTGCGTCCGTTGAGCATGGAGAGCCTTCAACTTGGAATGTATATTTTAACTCATTTAAAACGTACAAACATTCGTCGTGCTTTAAAAAGTAATATTTTACAATAAATACTAGGCCTACCTAACACCAGATTCGACACTGAATGATCCTGAATTCACCGGTATATCGGACCACAATACCCGTTTTCAAGGTATGTATCAGTACGCACTTCTAAGTTTCTAACGCGACACCGTTCTTGCCTAGTACGCGCTGTGATAGTGATGATTTTCAGCGGGTTTGCAAAGTAGTGTATCTCATCTCAAATTTTCTTCCGATAAAATTTTCTGAAACTGTGAAATGCGTACTGACGCACACCTTGAAAACGGGTAGTGTGGTCCGATCTACCGGTGAATTCAGGATCATTAGGTGCCGAGAATGGTAGTTGGGTAGGCCTGATAAAAGGAAAGTAACAACAATAAAGACAAATATTATTATTATTATTATTATTATTATTGAATGGAAGGTGTTACAGCGTGCTTTAAATTATTTTGGTTTTCCACAGGTATTTCCTTACTATGGGACCGTTCATATGAAAAATCTATTTTCTAAAAATCTATTTTCTATTCGCGGTATCTTGTGATCACTCCAAGCGCAGCCAAGAATTAATTACAGCTTTGGAAGTAACTGGGTCGCGCTGCCAGTAATTACGCCGCGGGGTATTCAGGGCACAGACCGTGATCACAAGATACCGCGAATAGAAAATAGATTTTTAGAAAATAGATTTTTCATATGAACGGTCCCATAGTATAACTAATAAAAATTAAATGATAAAGATACAGTGTATGATAATATAAGTGATGACACTTACTATTGAAGCAGACTGTCACAACCTCTGCAGGCGGTCCATTAGGTATAGCAAAGCTCGGAAAAATGAATGGCCACGTCCCCGGCGGGCACAGGCAGCGGAATCCAGAGGCGGAGAAGAGCAGGAAGAGCGGGTTAAAGGTACAAACGGGACTTGTAGAGGCGCTGCCACATTGTGCATTCCGTCGCCGTGGTTATGTTCTGGTAAGCGTTTGGTAGAGTACACTCACTGAATAGGGTATTGCCTGGAAAGTAGACAAGCCAATTAATAATTTGATAGGGGGGTTTTATGATATTTGCCATTCCTCTCCAACCCCGAAAAGTTCATTTATACGTAATTAATTATCATAAAATTGATTTTAGTCACGATATATTCCAGTATTCTTCTCAATTATTTCCAGATTCACATGTTATTTTTATATTCAATAAGTTAAAGTCCATAATGATTTTCACTTTGGCTTGGCATTGGTCCAAGCAGCCTTCACTGGACAAATATTAATCAACCTATGTTACTGTGTGTGTAGTGTGTTTTCGTTAATTCTTTCTTATACTACGTGAGATGGAGAAAATGTGAATAAATATTACATCACATGCAAAAGCTTCTCTACGAGCGACTCACCCATGGTATATTGGCAGAAAACTTCACAGCTGTTTGAAACGTTAGGAAATAACAATGCAGTACAAAACTGAAAACTTGCTGGAATCCTCAATTTATCCGCACTTGGCCTAGCTATAGAAGTGATGCAAATGAAGACATCGGTGGAGAGACATCGGAGACACCTTCATTATTCTAATTATCATAGCATGCATTCAAAGCAGCGGACTAATTATTCCATGGGTCAAATATGGCCGACCCACTTGAATACTTCCCCATGGCGAATATATTTAGTCTCTATTCGCGGGTTACACGGCAAGGTATTTAGTCGGTCGACATATCTGGCGCGCGGAGTAGTTAGTCCACTGTTCGGAATGTAGCCATAATCATCATAATTGTGGTCAACCAGTCATGCTATCATTTAAGAGATGCTATCTAAAATTATTCGCAGACATTCAATTACAGTGCCCAGCTCGAGGTAAAGTAACAGCTATAATAAGCACTCGCAGGAGTCACAAGATATACATGAACGTCCGGCAGTGTCGTGCATTAATATCCCGTTACGCCTCGTACTTCGGTAAGCATGAATTCCATCTTCTAATGTGTGTAATTCACTCTTAATTTGTCATTTTACCATTTACTGCCCTGAATATTTTAGTTCCTCAACTATGAGGGACATTGACATTACGTAATGATGATTATGATGATTAACCTATATATATTGAAAATCCAGCATCTGCGCGACTTGTAAAGGAGCATGTACTGTAGTGAACCACTAATAGTACCGATAGTCTTCCAAATATGCATATCTCATGTATGCAAATTCAGAAGACTATTTGTGGTTTACTACACATAAATGTGTACCTTGTATTATGGCTTAACATTCTATCAATTACAGTAAATAAATAGTTGTCGGTTAAATAGGTTTAAAAAAGATTAAGCTCCTTAATTTTTTTTTTTTGGTAAAAAAGGGAGATATGTGTAGGGAACCACTAATAGTAATGATAGTCTTCTAAATTTGCATAAATGAGATATGCACATTTGTTTTAGCTTTAATTATCCAAATGTATATAAAGACATGTCATGTTGCATGTTAGTTATGGAAATTCATTTAAAATGTAAATTAAGATAGAGTATAAAAGCAGCGACCGAGCCACAGAGGGGGGTGAGATAGACAGAGAGATATAGAGAGCCATATAGATAAACATGTAGATGGACGTAGTGAGACAGAGACATATATTACGATACATATCGTGAGAGAGAGAGATGGAGAGAGAGAGAGAACAGATACCTGAGCTTTACACTTAAATAAACCATGTAGCAGAAAACTATACCTGCCTGTCTCAGTTGTCTTACTGGTGAAAAGTAAATCAAAGAACCTGAATAACCAACCTGCTGGTTATTACAATACGAGTCATAGCAGTGTGAACCAAAAATAAATAATTGCGTAATATAACAGTTTATTTCTACAAATTAAAAGTTTAATAAGTATGCACATTCCTGCTATTTAACATCCAGAATACACAAATACTTAAAAATAAGCATACAACATTCCTCTTCTATGCATTATATTTACATAAATACGATCCGTCAAACATTCTGAATGAGACAATTTTTATTAGTTATCATATTTCTGTAAAGTTAATAGTAAAATAGTAGACAACGAATTCTCAAAAATTAAATGTTATCTATACACGTAATCAAATGCAACAGATTATGATAACTGATATTAAACATTTCGACTATCCGATGATATATATTATTTGTGAAAGATCAAGTAAGACACAGACAACGAAGAAAAAGGAATAAAAAGACATAAACTAAGAGAAAGAGAAGTTGAAACATCCAACGCATGTAATAAGACCTTAACTGTAATGAACGAGGTAAAAACAACGGTATTATTTACATATTCAATAAACATAATACGCTATAAGCTACTGTATGTTTTAGACATGGAATATTTCCAATGGCACTTGTACTCAACGCAGGAATCGGCGCAGCCATTTACTATGGCGGAAACAGTTTCCTAAAGACCGTCGTGTAGATATTTTGAGCGAGGTACGTCAGGCGGTTCCCAGTACTCGGATCTGGCACCACATTGGGATATGTTGAGAATAAAGACGGAAAGAAATCCCTGACAAGACCTTCGTAGAAAAGAATACTTCCGTTCACAACTGGCGCGTTCTCCAGAGGACCTGAAAAAAACATTGAAAAAGACATTTGATACAATGAGAGAACGAAGGTGATGATTATATGTACCAGGAATCTATATAAAACTACCATAACACATAAACTATTGGAACTCTCTGTAATAAATTAATAAATAATTTGGTGCATTCCACTATATATCCACATTAATGAATCATGGCAGCTTTTTCTATACTGCCCCTGCAGCAGTGGAGTCAACGCCTTCCATTCCCTCAATATCACTAATGTTTTCCAAGGCTGTTATATATTTAAATCATATCATGCTTTTCTAACACATTTCTCTTATCGGCTTCTTTTAATGCTCATCTTCTTAACTCTTTGTTACCAAATGAAAAAATAGATTTTGTTGACTTTGAGGTGTAACTTAAACTAATGCCCAAATAATATAAATGGGAATATGAAGGCGGCGACCCTGTCATTAAAGAGCACGATAACATCTTAAAACTCACTTGTGTCGTATTCCACGCAGCTGCCAGCGTTGCAATAGTAGACGGGCGTGACATCAACGGTGTAGCGATCATTGAAACTGCAAATCACATTAGTTATCGACTGAAATTCAAGGAAAAACGGATGGATAGAATGTAACAATACATAGGTTCACAAAATGCATGCTATGATTATACATAACACAAGTGCATCCATACAAATATGTCATTCACAACTCCTTTACGTTTTCAAAACACAATGGCTGGTTTCCCTTGGACTTTGCCTGAAGACAAGGTCCTTGAGCATGGGCAAAATTACGAAATTATCTTCATGTTTTGAGGGAGTGATTAATTTGGTTTATGCAATGGCATGACTACTTTTTTGTGAGTCGTATAAGAAACTAATTAAAGTGGTTTATATGCTTTATTGGAAATCCACGCTTGTTTCATATGTGATTATACTGGAAATACTGACCAAGTTGTGACACAGACTTTACCCGATGTGCTTGTTGTGACAATTATATCTTGATTGCGTGTTAATGTGCGTCTTTCTTACCTACAAACATTGTCCACCGAAGCGGGAATTTTTCCTCGTCGATCACATCTTCCAAAATATTTTAAACATTAGAACACGTGCCAAGGGATGAGGAACCATGTTACTCTTTTTACCCACTCATCAACCACTGGAGGTAAGCTTTTGCAAATATGCTAATATTTTTTCCAGTATATGCAACTCTAACTTGTACACCGAGTCGAAGGGGAGTGATTGCATCTGATAGAAAGACCAGTTCCCTTTAATAAGCACAGGTAAGACTTGCCCTAGAATTTGACCCACTTGCGTCAGGCTAACCCTAACCTGTATAACTAAATGGAGGGTGGACTCTGTTGCACGCGCCCTGCTCCGTCACACCGGTTCAAATTTAAGAGAAAACCAAAACACTGAAAATTGTAAAAAGATGCATTGAAAAAGAAAGGCTGAGAAGACCTTACCGTTAGGAAACTTGCAATGTCCGGGGATATCCCTCCCAGGAATTCAGGGGGAGAGCCCAAACTAGGACGAGTTGGAATGCCAAGACAGTCCGTCGCCCTAACGTTACAGTCGTCGTTGGTTGTGCAGAGAGAACCAGAAACTGAAACATTTCACAGAAATTTAAAAAAAAAAAAATATATATATATATATATATATATACTAAAAATCTATCTGGATTAAACAGAACTTTTTTTTGTAAGATGGTGTAAATACAAAAGAAAGATATAGGGTATACCATATCCATGTAACATTAGATTAGGTCACAGCCATCATATCAAATTGTGCTTGCATTATAGAAATAAGAAAGAAAAGCGATGATGACAATGAAAGCAACACAATAACTTGATAAATGTGCATTTTAAACCAATAATAATAGTAATAATAATAAAAGCTTAGAAATAATTTGCTTTTTATATTTCCCTTTGCTCTGAATCCATGTTTTACGTTTAATAATAATAATAATAATAATAATTACTTGGAAAACACGCCGACACCGCCGTGGATGCTCTGCTAACATAAGAGAAAGGAAATATGAACGGGTACGTCCCCAGTGGGCACATACAACGGTATCCAGAGGACGTGAAGAAGAGGAAGAACGGATTGAACGTACAGATCGGAGACACCGTGTCCGCCACGCTGCATAGCGTCTCTGTGCTAAGATTCTTATAAGCGTTCCCTACAGTGCACTCGGAGAATAGAGTATTACCTGAAAAGTAAAATAATTATGATACGAGGAAAGTTTACATTTGTCATGAATTACTAAGAGAAAATAACTTCCACTCAATCCCATTTCTTCATAAATTTACATTTAATTACACGATTTTTTACGCTTTTTTATTGTTTATCCACCTCTTGATAAATGAGATAAAGAATGTATTCCGTAATAGTCTCAATATCATATAATATAACAGCAATTAATATTCTTACATGATGCATTCCACTAAGAATCCGAAACGTTTTACAAGTTAGGCGTCATTATTAAAAAATACAAAAAATAGTTGTACATATTTCCGTCCGTTAATAATCATAGAAACTGATTAAAACGCTGCAGTGGCGACCAACATGCATGAAATGTTTATTAACTGCGATGAAAAGATTAATATATATTTCCAGATGCTGATTGAGAAAGATAAGTGGCGCCAGTGGACTTTCTGCAGACATTATTTCAATCTGCTCGGGTCGTGAAATTTTTCACAACTCAATCAAAGTAACGAGGTCTAATTAAAACGTTTTGATATTTATGTCCATATCATGAAGAATAGCTTTCAATTTTCAAATTAAGTGATCAAGATTTGTATACTGCTCCTGGAGTACTCGCGCCAAATCTTTCCGTTATTTTTACAGACATTAAAAATGTTTTCAGAAACTTTATTGTAAAATTTTCGAATCGTATAATGCTTATCCATTACACTTTCGTTACGGACTTCTATAATTCTCAGTCTTATTTATTCTTTAATACCAAGGGGACGTTTAAAGTCCGTTGAATTCTTGTGCGGAGCTAAAACCAATACCCATTAATTAACATGTACCTGTTAACAAAAATATCAACGAAGAGACAAACCTTACTACAGACCACATTAACCCCTTAAAACTCACTTGTATTGTATGCAGCACAGGCTCCAGCATTGCAGTAGTAGACCACAGTGACATCCAAGGTATTGCGACCATTGAAGCTGCACATCACACTA